TGACATCGTGACAGATAATACCATCAAAGGAAAATATAGAACCGGTGACTGAGGAAAAAAATAATGAGCAATTTACAACTACAGAAACATGTCGTGCCTCATGATGCTCGGGGAAAAGCAAGTGCATGGGCAATTTCCAATGGAAACTGGAGTGGACCAAGTGGATGTGGACACATTTGACATAGTATGATGGATTACTAAAAAGTAAGTTGAAATAATTTATGCAGGAGAATGACTTCCATCTTTGAAAAGAGTAAATAGGTTCTTGCCAATTCAAGTACTTTTCTTTTGAAAATGGCACTAAACTAAACACTATAAAGTGGAACTGAGGATTCCAATAAAATAACAGAAGCCTAAAAGATATGTAAATTTCCTTCTCAAGTATCTCCCTACTCAGATAAATTAGTATTGAAAAATATAAACAGAATAAAGTTGAGCCCATTATATATTTATATGTTAGTACAAAACTTCCAAATCATCTTTCTGAACCATTAGGAATCATCAGGTTCTCTTCAATGGAAGAAAAAATTATCTACAGCATGCAGCAAGAAAAAACTCTATCAGATTGCAAGCATGGTCCCAAAGGCAATTCATCCAAGTTCCAACAACACCTGCCATCTAACTATAGGCCGTTGTAGACAAACAAATATAAACCAATAATGAAATTCTCATTTACATTCCATGCTGTAGTGGTGAACCAAATAACTCACCAATTGGGAAGAACGTGAGCCAACTAGATCTAGCACCCTTTTCCATTTTTTCATAATTATCTAATAATAAAAGACAGAAATTCCATGGGAAAATATTATACTATGAATTTTCATGGTATTTATTTGGAATGCAATAAAGCATGACAGAGGCAAGTTCTCCATGCAAGGTGAATAGAATAGATGCTACTATAATTAACTAAAGACAAACAGTAAACTACGAATATTTTAGACTGATTTTTCTCTAATTTATTGAACACAAATTGAATCCGAAAATCATTCATCTACTTTAGAAGCCAGCCATGTCTTACGAGGATTTTCTGATACAACATATTAGCCCTCCTAGTTTCTATGCTTTGTTCATACAAAAGAATAATATCATATTGAAAACTAATTTTAGACTTGGGGTCAAAAGTACTTTTCCAATTATCTATACCTTGGTCAGAATGGGCAGTTGCACTACTTGAATTAGCAGAGTCTGCTTGACGCACTTAAGTCACCATAAATTATTATAATTGGAGACGTTTCAGTTTTAAAGCTTTTTATGGATTTTAATAATTACAGACGTTTCAGTTTGCATGACTTTATGTTTTGTTTATGGTTATTTTCGTTTTGTATCAGTTTTTAAGACCATTGATAGTCCTTTGTTGTCAGTTACTTTTTGTATTGCCTTCAAAAGGCTGGTTAGAAAGATGTGAGGGAAGACTTTTGATGATTGAAGAATGATAATATAGCAGAAAACTTCTGCATTTTCCTGAAAACCTACTTTTCATATAATTTTGCATCATTTGGTATCAGAGCTCAGGTTGCCTTAAAGATGGCTGAGCAGGAAAATCGCAAAGGTCGTGGTCGTGGTCGTGGACGAAGAGGTCGTGGCGGCAGACACGGTCAACCTACCGATGGTGATTATTATACTGATGCGAGAGATGCTGAAATTGAGGAAAAGGACAGACGGATCCAAGAACTCGAACAACTGCATGCAGAGGCACAGTTGCACGAGTCAGATGAAGGATGGGAATCTGAAAGATCATCTCATGAGGAGGAAAGGAGATTATGGAACCGAAACCAGGAGCGATGAGGACGAAGTCAACCTGGAAATCAGTCCTTTTTTGCTAATATTAAGGTGAAGATTGAGATCCCGGAATTCGAAGGCACTGCTCATCCAGATGAGTTTATCGACGGGTCACACACCGTCGAAAAGGTCTTTGACATCATAGACTTGACAGAAGACCAGAAGGTCCCAATCTATGATGAATATGATGAAGAACAAGAAGATGAGAATCCTGTAAAGGATGCTCCAATTTATGACAAGTTCACTATCTATGATAAGTATGATTGGGAGCAAGACGACGAGAATCCAGAGGTGAAAGAAATCTCTTGTAGGGATTTCGATGGGAAGTCAATTATTAGAAATTCTAATATCTCTGACAAAGATGAAGTTCTACCCAAAGATATCATGCAGAATGATCCTTCATCCAAAAAGTCTTTAGTTTGCAAGCAGTATTATGAATTTGGGGACAATGAGCATAACAACCTTATGCTCCATGGAGATAAAGATTTAGCTTTTGGTAAAAGTTTAATTGGAGATTGTCAAAGGCAATGGGACTTGCTGGTACATCAAACAAAGTTTTCCTATGACGGATCACAGATGCGATCATTGATCCAAACTACAAATGAATATACCAAACATGTCAAAGAATTGCATTTCCAAGTCCTAATCTTAATTAGGAAATTTGGTGATATTGTACCAGAAGAGTTGCCAAAGAATTGCATTTCTAAGTCCTAATCTTAATTAGGAAATTTGGTGATATTGTACCAGAAGAGTTGCTGAGTTGCCGCCTGGATTACCACCTGAAGACGTTGCAGATTCGAGGGCAAATCTTTTCCTAGTGGGAGAGGATGATGCACTTAAGTCACCATAAATTATTATAATTGCAGACGTTTCAGTTTTAAAGCTTTTTATGAATTTTAATAATTGCAGACGTTTCAGTTTGCATGACTTTATGTTTTGTTTATGGTTATTTCCGTTTTGTATCAGTTTTTAAGACCATTGATAGTTCTTTGTTGTCAGTTACTTTTTGTATTGCCTTCAAAAGACTGGTTAGAAGGATGTGAGGGAAGACTTTTGATGATTGAAGAATGATAATATAGCAAAAAACTTCTGCATTTTCCTGAAAGCCTACTTTTCATATAATTTTGCATCACTGCTTCTTTAGAACTTTGAAGCCAATTCCACCATCTAATGATACATTCACTGCCAATTTCCACTTTTTTTTTTTGAAAATATTCCATCGGTTCAACGCTTCGCGACTAGTCCGATTCCGGGCGAGTTCAGGATTAAAGGACTTTAAACCTCTCCTAATTACCACCTTTAATTAGTCGCTTTGAATACTTAAGTGGTGCCATAGTTTCCCTTTCGTTCCCAATTTTGTCTTGTTCTTTATTGGTCAAATGGTTTGTGAATTGTAGCTTGATTTTGTGAACATTGAGATCTTCTTAACCTCGTCTTACACATTAGTGAAGTTTCGAATGTGCTTACTACTTGAATTAAAATCATTATTTGAAATGTGATGAGGAAATAAGTGATCCATTATTTGTAGTCAGCATGTTCGAATGCTTGAATTATGCAATATACCATTTACTTGAAAGAACTGTCACTTACAGATAAAAGCTGTTATACACAGTACTAGTTTTTTGTTTGAAGACATGTTGAAGTAAACTTGGAAACATCAAAAACAAGCTTTCAACTTGTGTTAATATCTTGGAAATAAAATTTATTAAAATTTAGAATTTTTCTTAATAATAAAAAAGAGTTGTAAATCATCTGCAAAGAATTTTTCTATACATTAATGTTAAAAAGCATAGTTTTTTATTTTTTTTGGTAAGCAAAAACATAGTTATTATAATCGTAAAATACATGATGATACGTATTGTTTGATACGACATGATTGACAAGCTACATATCAAGGGGGTGTATGGGAAAGGAGATTATATCAAACAACAAGATATTGTATTATACGTTATGTATCGTGTATCACATGATACAGAAATTAAACCAAAATTTATAATTTTTATTATGAAAAAAAATAAAGATTTGATTTGTGATTTAAACTCAAAAATCTATCTGAAAAATCTATATTAACAAGGGAAATAATTAAATAAATATTTCAAATCTCTTCAATCTTCAAAATAAATTAATAAATCAATAAAAAATTGATTCAAATTACAGGAATAGAATGTTATGTAAATAAAAAGCAAAAAAGTGATTTATGAGTAGGACAATAACTGATTTGTACTTTAGTGATTTATATATTTTATTGATTGGATCCTTTTGAAATTTGGATATATATGATATTAATTATGTTATATATTTTTAAATTATTTTTTATTATATTTTTGTATCTTACGATTTGATATGATTCATCGTACACAAAAATCAGCCAAGCGATTCAATAATTATAAAATTTAAATGAGAATGGCTCCAAAATATGACGAGTTGACAAGTAAATCATTTGTAAGAATTTGTTTCATTTTTGAATAAACTTGAAAAATAAAAAACATATCCTGAAACCATGTTGAGGAATCTGCAGCTGCAAGCCAACACATTAAGCCCAATTACTTACAAAGGATCACAAGGTTCAAGCGAGTAAAACCCATATCAGCCTATTTCAAGGACTACAACATAAATAATAGCTTACATCTTGGATAACTTCTACCAGACCCATTTAAATTTTACCATTAACAGTGTACAGCTTATATCTGACCTTTTCTAATCAGTAATATATGTCATGATAGTGTTGGCATGATTTTAGTTATATTCTGTGCTTAAAACTTTTTTATAAGTCATTATTATGAGCCATTTTAGAGGGTCTTATGTTTATCTGGAATTGTGACCATCATTATGCATTCAGATTTTCTTTTTTCTAATTTGTAGTAATTCTCATATTACCTGAATCTGTTGTCTTGACTATGACTTATATTCTTTCTTTTTCAAGTTGAATTATAAACATGAACTGATTAATTTAAAAACTTCGGTAACAATGACTTGATAGACCCTCTCGAGGATGAAGTATCTAACTATCCACAAGGCCTTGTTCTGGTTCCTCGAGGAGCAGATGATAATAGTGTTGTTGTGGGTCCACACATGAGGGGTAGCCGGTTGCGAGCTTCTTCTGCTGGTGATGAGGAGGTGGAGCTACTTCTACCTGGTACATCAAGGTGTAGTTTCTTGATGATCTTATTAATTCTTTGAACTTCATCATAGTGCTCATGCTATCCTATTAGTATGTCCGATCAGTGCATTTCATTTGGCAGAAGCGTAATTTTAACTAAATCTTTTATCCCAGGATATAACCTGACCAAATCCTCAATGACAAAGTCATGAAGTGCGGCAGCAAACTCCACTCCAGTTTGACCACCTCCAACAATAGAAAAATGAAGAATTCTCTTATTTTCTTCTTCACTTAGACTAGGCAAACTCGCTCTCTCAAAGCAGTCAATAACGGTTCTTCTAATCTTCTGTGCATCTTCAACTTCCTTCAAGAAATGGCAATTCTCGACCACTCCGGGAGTATTAAATGTGTTGACATTTGCTCCCACGGCTATGATTAGGTAGTCATAGTCCACCACAAATTCTTCTTTTACGTTCGAATTATTGCTTCTATTAGATCGACAGTAAACTTTCCTGTTTGCTGCGTCAATCTTGACACATTCTGCTTCACTGTATTCAACGTCCACCTTTTTCTTCCTAAAAATATTGCGGACGGGTTCAACAATGCTGCGCGCTTCAACGGTACCGCAGGTAACACTAGGCAGTAAAGGAGTGAACGCAAAATAATTGCGAGGCGACACCACGTGAACCTCATACCTGGGATTGTTCAGATTCTTCAAGAAACTCGTGCCTGCCTAGCCAGTTCCCAGCACCACCACCTTTTTCTTGTCGGTCACTGCCGCTTCAGATGCACCGACAGCCTCACCGTAAGCCAAAAGACCACCACCACTTACGGTGGTGCAGAGCAGTACAAGCTTCAACTGCGACTGATCATGGTCACGGAAAGCTCTATAAACTCGTTCGAAGAAAGTGAAACTCCGCATTTTTTTGTTTCTCGGTACATAAATTTGAACATCAAATTTGTCGGGTGAAAGATCTGTGCGTCCAAAATTCCAGGAAAACAGAGAGAGAGAGAGGGAAGAGAGAAGAATGAGTGATTTATATTACATATCTAAAACACCTCTTCTCGTAAGAGTCCTTTTGGATTATAACGTGAACAATGCACATGTTCATCTAATGTTATGTTGAAATTCATCTTCTTATTAAAAGAATGTAGGCGGTAAAGAAACTCTAGACCATTTAGTTCTAGAGACTTTGATACCATGTCATGAACTAATTATAGCAAAATCTTAATCTTTTACTTGGAGACACATATCAACTACACCCTTATCCTAAATTAGTTGGGGTTAGCAGCAGTGAACCCAAGTAACAAGCAATAAGTAAAAAGAAGAATAAGAAAAATAAAAAATAATATTAGTAAATGAAAAAAGGTAGGCAATATTGTCAATTTTCCATGATACCCAATGTTTTGTTTTTGCTATGACTTAAAAGAGTAGGAATTATTGTCATTTGAAATCAAGGACAAAGGCCCAACACTTTCAGCCTGTTAGAGAATAATATAAACCATTAAAAAGACTCTCATCCAATAGCTTAAACTTTTCGGTTGAATTGGTTCTTTACATGGTATCAGAGCCTCGGTGTCACGGGTTCAATCCTCATCGCCCCTCACTTTCTCTTGTGGAATTTCTTAGCATAGATAGGCTGAGTCTGATGCATCGTCCACCTTTTAAGCCCAATGGGCTCTCTTGCGAGGGCGCGTGTTAGAGAATAATATAAACCATTAAAAAGGCCATCACCCAACAACTTAAGTTTTTGAGTTGAATTGGTTCTTTACACTCCCAATCCTGCCTTTTTGTAAGAAATGTCTCTGATAATTTAAACGCTCGAGGGTCCTCTTGTGCGTTTGAGTGTGCTTTTCTGGACCTTGAATTGTAATATTTTGATTTCCTTTGATCCATATTGAGTCGTTACTTCTTCGTCATGATTTCTTTAGCACTTTTAGCACCATTTCTTGTGATTTTACCTTCAAAATGCAAATATTACCAAAACGTCAGCTCAATTTCCAATCTTAGGACTTAAATGTCTTAAAACCTTGAATTCCATGCATTCTACTACATAACTCTTGTATAATTTAGCCTAAAAACATGGTAAATCAAAGGTTTATCAAACATTCCCAGATTTGAATATTGTTGTCCTCAGCAATCAATCAGAGTAAACTAAGGGATTAGGAAGTAAGAATCTCAATAGCTTGGAATTTAACAGAGATAATTCATCAGAGACATGATATCAGAGCATTCAGACTAAAAAGATTATTTCATCAATCATTTTTATCAGAAAAAACATTCTTAAGATCAAGAACCAGGGACAATTCCTTTAGCACCCCCTCACTAGTATTTTAATTCACTCACGCTCAACTGTTTAGAGGGTTGGTGTTTCACTCAAATCCCACTGAATCAAACTACCATAAGCTTGCTCATATTCTAGCTCTCTACAGTAATACTAAAGTATTCAACAGATCAAGAGGTCTTTATTCTGGTTGTAACTTGGCCTGGTTGAAAGGGAAGGAAAAAAATTTGGGGAAGGGGACTTCCGAGATTAAATCCAGATTCTTAAGAGGAATGGATGTAGTTGTTTACACTTTGTCAACAACTTTCTTTTTCTTTTGTTCGTTCTTCTTCACTTCTCTTTTTCTTGGACTTTGCCTTTCTCTTTTCTCAGAATACTTTTATTTCTTTTTCTTTCTGAGTCATTTTCTTTCTCTTTGTTTGTTTCTTCTTCTTTCCAACCAACCTTTCTTGGCTTTTGCCTTTCTTCCATGTACTTCCACACCTCATTATTCATATATTCAACCAATGAGCACTTGTTCTCAATCTGAAATTCAATCTCAATTAAGGTGAGGAGTGTATGGATAATGGCTTATTCAATTCATAGGTTTTCAAAGAATAAACAGGCCTAGAATCAAAATGGTTAACTAAGGAATAACAGTAAGGGTTGGCTATTTGGCCATCTAGTTTAAAGAAAGAACATGCCTCAATCATATCCATAGAATAAATCACATACTAATTCAAGCCAGAAACAAAGCAAGTTCTAGAGTCTTTTATACAGTGGAATGCACACTCAATAAAAATTTTCTATATAGGCTCAAAACCTCACGGCTATGAATGCACAGTCATTCCCCTAGTCCTTTATCTCAACAAAAAAAAAATCAATTCTAAAGAAATATTCAACCAAACTTTGATGCTTATTAAAATTAAAAACTCAAGTAAGTCATCATCATGCTCTAAATCAATTACTGATAAAAAATCCTTGCCATTTTTCCATTAAAGGCACTGAGAAAAGTGTAAAATTTTCACAAAAACAGTGACTTGGGGTTTTTATTCATTAAAACTAAAAAATAAATAAATTAAATTCAAATTCAAATTACTTAAAATAATAAATTAAATTCAAAATGCATAAAAGAAAATAAGAAAAAGGTTGAGATGTTTCCCTGTACTAGCCAGATGTTCTGTGTATACTCATGAAGTCTCTCCGGTCAATGAGCACTCCGGCTGACGAACTACGCGCTTACCATTCCCAGATTTAAATGTTGTTGTCCTCAGCGACTAAGTTAAATCTAAAAAATAATCGCGTGGATAGTATAAAAACTAGTCGATTCCTCGTGAAACAGCATCATAAAACTATCGGCCAATAGCGTTGAAATACCAACTGCATCATAGGGTTATCTCATACCGTAAAAACATAACATAATAATCCAAAACAAAATAAAACTAAAATAAAAAATATAAAGTAGCCAAGTGATCAATCATCCATCTCCTCGTCCTCGGCATCTCTCACTATGGCTGGTGGCATGACAATGTCCTCGCCATCCTCGTCCTGACCATCAGTAGCCGGACCTGTGCTGCCTCTCTGTGCATCATCAAAAGCATCCTCCTCTTCTGATCCCTCATATGACTCGGGCTGGAAGTCTGGCTGTCCAGCGGGATGGGTAATGCTGAGGTGCTGTAGAATGCGTGCCTGGTATGCTAGCTGCTGCGTGTGCATATGCTGGTTCCTCCGTCGGATGAACCCTACCTGAGTCTCAAGAGCAGTCAATTGACTCTCTACTGATCCTGCAGCAGCTGAACTGGAAGCCCCATTTGTCTGGGCCCGTGCACGTCGCACTCTCCTCCTCCTGCCCGCCTGAGCAGCCTTTGCCACTGATCCATCCTCCTCTATGGGCTCCTTCAGCTTGTCTGAAATCGTCCTTTTATTATAACAATATTAGAGTATCGTCTCCACAGGGATTGAGATCGAATATCAAATAATCGTCCTTTCAAGAATGGAGGAGTTCAAATAGTTTGTGACAAATATTGTTGATTTGTGTAAAAGGAAGAACTGAAAATAAAGACTTGTTTTTGGCTTTTTGTTATGAGAAATAAAACAATAAAAATGAGAATTGTTTTGTGAAAATATGAGAAAATCATCGTAGCTAGATTGCACTCACCTTATGATCCCCACTTCTTACTTTGGATGGATTTATAATATTCATTCATATAATTACTCAGATAAATTATTATCTAAAATTATTAATAGTTAACCCTCAATTCCTTGTAAGGTTAACCCTTTAATCCCAATTCAAACCCCAATTCCTTGCAATGTTTCTCATGGCATTAAGCAATGAAATCAATAATTTAAGCATCTGCAATTAAATACACATCTATTCTTAGCATGCATATAAATTGTTATCCTACCCCCTTTCAAGATCAAAACCCCAATATTCCTATCTAGGGTTCTAACCCTCAAACTATCCTCAACTATTAGATTGATCAATTCTAATAAAGAGAATATAAAATACGCACAGGATAGAGATAAAGATAATTTATATAAACGAGTAAAAGTAAATCAATCCGTCGTAACAAGGGTTCACATAGGGTTTGTGACCCTAACTACAATAAAAAGAAACTAGCCAAACATTATCATGGCTAAAAATCTAATATTCATAAAACCTGGTAAATTAATAGAGCAAGAAGAAGAAGAATTCGGTCTCCAAAATACTCTCTGAGTACCACCGTCATCTCCCTTCAATAGAATAGGTCTCTCTTTAATTCTGTAAAGAGGATCCTATTTATAAGCCTCGCTTCTTTCTTCCAAAATTATCCTCGCATAGCACGGTGTAATTTTCCCGCAAACCAGCATACCTCTGTCCAAATTGAAAAGCCGGACTCATTCCTCGTAAAATGGTGCCAGTTGGCGCCAAAATGGCGCCACTGGGCGCCATGCCTCTGTGCAATTTTATTTCTCCATGAATGTGGCGCTACTTGGCTTGGAAGTGGCGCTAGTTAGCTTGGAAATTTTGGCGCTAGTTTGCGCCAATTTGGTGCTAGTTGGCGCCACTTTTGGTGCTAGTAGGCGCCACTCCACTGTGACTTGTTTCTTCTGGCACTAGGTGGCTCCAATGTGGCGCCACTTGCAGGCCTCCGGTGTAGAGTTCGTAAACTGGCGCGGGTTTGCGCCAGTGTGGTGCCGGTCCGCGCTATGTTGCTGGACTTTGTACTTCACACCCGTGTGGAATTGCGCTAACAGGCTTTTTATAATTTTCACTTTTTTTCCTGTAAAATACAACCAATAGGTGAGAAATATCATTAACATAGAAGAATCAATATAATAAGCAAATATGTATTTAAGTTGCTCCTTTATTACTTAATTCTTATTATTTCTAGCTTGAAAAACCACAATTGCCAGAGGCACATCAGTTAAGTCCTCAGTGGAGAATATAGCTATTTAAGAATGGAACAGTGGATTCGTCCCTTGTGTTAAAAACTTTTTATCCATCCATATCGTTGTCTCTTAAATATTGTTATATTATTGTTATTTTCTTTATTAAATCTTGTGACAACAACATCAAATCTCTAATGAATATTGTCGTTCCTTCTCATCAAGAAGGATTTCATATATAACAACGCGAGGAGTTGTTTGAAGTCAGACTGAACCTATTATTCTTGAG